CCCTAAACCCTAAGCCCTAATTAAGCCCTGCACCTTCTTTCAAGAACCCTCAATGAAGGAATCCCAACAACCCTATTTAGGGTTTAGGGTTTAGGGCCAGGGTTTAGGGTTTAGGGTTTTGGGTTTTGGGTTTTACAAGAACCCTCAAAGCTTTAAGGGCCAAGGCTCAATAGCTTGTGCCGCCTTGCGCAGCCTCTTCGTAGCGACGCTGCGGTCCCGTCGAGTGCTTGTGCTGAGCTGCCTCACTTAGGCTTTAGGGTCCCTTCTAATCCTTTGCCCTTAATATTAAAAGGGGGCCCCCCAAACAGATACTCGGAAAGCTTTTTATTATTAGGGGCTATGTTTATCTCTACTGCAACTTTTGAGGGGACGTGCTCCTGCTCCTGCTCTGGCTCTTGCTCCGGCGCTGGTTTTATTTCTTGCTTGTGCTGCGCTTCTTGCCCCAGCTCCTGCTCTTGCTGTTGCTCCCGCTTCTGCTCCTGCTGTTGCTCCTGCTCTTGCTCTCGGTCTTGCTTTTGTTTGCTCTTGCTTTCCTCTTGCTGCTGCTCTTACTGAGGCTCCCGCTTTTGCTCTTGCTCCTGCTCTTACTGTGCTCTAAAGGTTGTTGGATCCTCGAAACCCTCCCCCCTAATTCAGAATAGGTTTTAAAATGCAGGGATGATTGCGGGAGGAGTGGGCCCAATGTGTGTTTATTCATAGGGGGGTGTTTAATAGAAGGGGGAAGCGATTGTAGGGGTACTTTGAAGGTACTATTTATGGTTGAAGCTTTGAGCGAGATCCGTGGACTTGACGACTTGGGTTAAGGGGTATCAGGGTTTAAGGTTCATGGGTTTAGAAATAAAGGGTTGACGATATCACTCATAATCAAATCATCTTCGGGGATCCTTGCCAACAGAATCCATAATCAGAAATGTTGAATTCTATGAACCCCTATACAACAGTTTGAAGCTCTTGAAGAAACCTCCATAATACAAGGAAGCTTGCAAGACGACTGGTCTTCGGAAGCCCCTTTCAAAGGCAGCTGTAGCAGGGCGGGGTGTAATTCTGCTAAACCCTAAACCATAAACCAGAAACAACTAAGCTCTTAACCCTAAGCCCTAAGCCCCAAAGCCCTAAACCATTAAACCCCCTTGATGCGGTTGATGGTATAAATCCTGCATTACCCATAATAAGGAATTACCATAA